CTGAGTTTCTGTTACTCAGTCTGATTGGCTAGTAAGGCCACAGGAAATTCTGGCACTCACCAGTACTATGTAGTATGCATATAGTGCTGTACAATGATGAATCACAAAAAATTTGTCACCAATCACTTTCCAATTGAAAAGGATAATCAACAAATCTGCAAAGAGGAAAAAGAAGTAAGAAGTTACACAGGAAGAAAGCACCATTGGGTCACATGTGTATTTAACTCACCCTCTTGACAGCTCAACACCTCTCACACCAAGGCCACAAAACTTCCTTCTTTCCGCATCCACTCTAGTACCCCTGGTTCTCAGAAGGTATTGGCTTCTGTGCCCTTTGAGCCTGTCTCCCCTCACTGTTTTGTGGCCAAGCCATGGGTATCTTTATACCCTCAGAATTCTAACACAGACCCGGGAATACAGTTAGTAATCAACCTAATATTTGTTGAGGGTATAAATGAATTACTTTGTCCCCAAGGGTAAATAAAATAAAATATTACCAAATATAAATAAATTTAAAATAAGCCCAAATTACTGGTACTTGTCAATACAATAATACAAAAAGATTAGTGACAGGCAAAGTACAAAATGATCAACTTATTTATAACAAGAATTACTTAACAAAGTATGCAATGAAATATTAATTCAAAATAGTAAACACATCAAGGCTGATAACCAGGGGCTAGAGACATGGCTCAGATGGTAGAGCACCAGTTTTGAGTGAAAGTGTAAAACACAGTTCAAGTCCAAGTCCAAAGGACGAAAAAAAAACTGTGACTATAATAAAAAAGGCAAAGAGTTCAATCTATCAAGTTCCCTTTAAAAGCTTCTCAGTCTAAATGATTCAGAAAACAGAACTTGCTCCAAATGTCAACACTCATGTTTTGTTTACCAAATGGTTAAACCTGAAATGTCCACAGGGGCTGTCATAGATGAAAACTGAGGCAGGACAGGTTTCATCAGATCAGAGCATATAGACTATAGGATTTGTATGGGATTAACCTTTAAAAGATACTAACACAAGCATGAATGCTCAGAAAGAGAATCAAAACTACAACTTTTCAAGAGAAATCAGATACTCTAATTGTGAAGATCAAGGAGAGAGATATAACATTATCAGTAGCTAAGTACCTGATACCTTTCTCTAAAAATCACTAATTTTTCCTACATATTTGGCTGCACATACTTTTGGGGGACCAATTTATGTAATGATTTTATTTATTTTGCCAATCCAGAGGCTTGAACTCAGGGCCTGGGCACTGTCCCTGAGCTCCTTTTTGCTCTACCACTTGAGCCACAGGACAGACAAGCACACTAACCATTAAGCCTCATTCCTAGCCCTGTAATGATTTTATAACAATGGTCTATAGGAAGAATAAAATGAACTCACTTCTCATTCAAATTGGTTCAAACATTTGTTTTCAATTCACTCCTTTTGTTTGTGAATTTTTGTGGTTTTTTTGGACTGCCACCTTTTGGGGGATAATCTTTCTTTCTTTCTTTCTTTTTTGCCCATCTGGGGCTTGAACTCAGGACCTAGGCACTGTCCCTGAACTGCTTTTGCTCAAGACTAGCACTCTCTCACTTGAGCCACAGCGCCACTTCCAGTTTTTTCTATTTATGTGGTACTGAGGAATTGAACCCAGGGCTTCATGCATACTAGGCAAGCACTTTACCACTAAGCCCCATTCCCAGCCCTGGGTATAATCTTAATCAGGTTTCTTTCACACAGGATTTCCCAAGTGGTTACTCTTCTCTGAACTGACAACATTCATTAACCAGTGCATGTGGTATACTGGCATATTATAAATTCTTATTAATGACACTGTTGTGTCAAATTTCCAAGATGTTCACATGAGTGTGTGTGTGTGTGTGTGTGTGTGTGTGTGTGTGTGTACTGTCCCTGGGGCTTGCCTGGATGCTATCCCTGAGCTTCCTTGCTCTAGGCTAGTATTCTTCCACTTTAGCCATCACCCTACTTCTGGCTTTTTGGTGGTTCATTGGAGGTAAGAGTCTGATGGATTTTCCCGCTGGTGTTGGCTTTGAACAGCTATCCTCTGATCTCAGTCTCTTGAGTAGCTAGGATTATAGACATAAGCCACCAGCACCAAGCCAGTACTGGGGTTTGAACTCAGGGCTGGCTCAAATGGCACTCTACAACATGAGCCACACCTCTAGTCTTTTTTGCTGATTAATTGGAGGTAGACTCTTGGGGATTTATATGTCCCAACTTGTCTTCAAACCTTGTTCCTCCAGGTCTCAGCTAGGACTAAAAATGCGAACTGCAGGTACCCAGCCAGGATTCACTTTTTTAAATTAGGCTACCTGATAATCCAACAGTCTAGTCATTATTTCTCATCAAGATGTATCTCTATTAATTAGTTACTGGTTTTGACAGAATCTAATTTTCTTTGTTAGAATTCACTTCTTCACATATAGCAACTTCAAGTCCTATAAACATCCAAATCATAGATTTCTTATTTTTCTGTGGTTTTTATTAAAATGATCCAAAATGTCACTTCAAATTGTGGTTAGAATGGCACATTCTCAATCTTGGCAGCTTTGTTGTACAAAGCGCTACTATGTCCCCATGTAACATGTAAGAAAATATACTAGATGGTAATATGGAGTAGAAGATTCCAGAACATTAACTGATAAGGGCAAATTGGAAGACACATCACTGGTCTCAACAAGTAAGTACCAGAGTCTAAGGCTTAAACGTCATAGCAATTACACAGGAAAAAAAAAAGTCTCAGATCATCAGTGAGAATCAGAAAGGTAAAAAGAGTTTCACATTCTACCACCATTGCATGTATTATTGTATTATTGCTTTTGCTGGTCCCATGAATTAACTAAAGGCAAGCAAAGGCTTTGCATCTCTACTTCCATTTTATTTATTTGTTTGTTTATTTATTTACTGCCAGTTCCCAGTTTTTTAGTTTTCTTTCCAGTCCTGGGGCTTGAACTCAGGGCCTGGCACTGTTCCTGAGCTTCTTTGGCTCAAGGATAGCACTCTACCACTTGAGCCACAGTGCCACTTACGGCTTTTTCTCTTTATGTGGTACTGAGGAATCAAACCCAGGGCTTCATGCATGCTAGGCAAGCACTCTACCACTAAACCACATTCCCAGCCCTTCACCTCCATTTTATACGTGTTTTTGCTCCAAGACACTATCTGCAGTCACCAATGGACTTTTCATAGAATATCCACGCCATGTAATAAATTTCTTACCATGTCTTCTTGGTATTTAGGAGTGAACAGCTGGATCTGACATATCAACTCTGGGGTTTGAGACAGGTCTAAAACTCTGATTTCATTATTTATCTTGGGATAATAAGCCAAAATAAAAACAAACAAAAAAGAATACAGATACTGTAAATAATCCCATGATCCATTTAATGAGAACTATACAATGTATAACATTATCACATACCAGAAATGAGGTAGCCTGAGGCAGTAGCAATATTCACAATCACATGTTTTGGATCACCCCTGAAAATATTTAAGACAAAATAAAAAGGGTTTGTTGGTTTTCTTTTTAAAGCATATGGGTTATAGATGACCAGTGCACTTTTTCTACTGAGATTTAAGTACAATAAAAACACTTTCTTTGATTTTCAAATGGTAAGCTGTTGTTTTCAAACATAAATCGCAAAGCACCAGCCTCCATTTAATTGAGCCATGATGCCTGGCTAATAATAGAAGCATATGCTGTTCCAGAATAATATGAACCCATGTCCCCCAAGGAAATCTAGTAACTTCTCATCTGAAATGAATTGTTAGCGATCTGCTGCCCATACTGGACATGAAGTTTCTACTCTAGCCTGAGCAAGTTTCCAAAATCTCCTTGATGATAAATCAGAAACTCTTGGAATTAAAATAAGCTGAGATCCTTTAAAAGCATTTAAAGCCAAACCACACTGAGGTCCCAATATTAAAAAAAAAAAAGAGGCCTCTTGAAGGTGGCTGAGAGAACACAATGCATTTGATGAACCAAAGTTAAAGCTGCCCCACAACTTCCAAATCCAAAGGCAGAGTAGAGGGTTTGCTTTGTGTGAAATTGAGAAGGAAGCGTCCTACCACTTATGGTGTTTCCATAGATCCAGAAGATGACTAAGAGCTCCATCCATCTGCATCTGACTTCTCAATCCTATCCTGTCAGAGTACTGTGCAAGCTGAGAGACTACTTCTAACTGCATGAATCAACAATTTCTTTATACACACAGAACTATGCTAAAGATGTTATTTAAAAACTGTAAATGTACCAGATACTGGTGGCTTATGCTTGTAAGCCTAGCTACTCAGGAGACTAAGATCTGAGGATTGTAGTTCAAAGTCAGAAAGTCCATGAGACTCTTACCTACAAGCACTCTAGAAGTAAAGCTGTGGCTCAAAGTGGTATGAGCAAAGTGTCTATGAGCAAAAAGAGCTCAGGGACAGTGGCCAAGTCCTGAGCTCAAGTCGCATGACCAACCAAAAAAAAGTATGTATTCTATGATTTGTAAAAGAACTCCAATAGAATTGTAAGTACCAAAGGTTTTTATTTTTTATTCTGAACCAAACTCACCATGGGAAACCATGTACCCCATTTTT